ATCCACTTCTTCCTTCATATAAGTGGTATACGATGCGCCTTCGAATGAAATCAAAAGACCACCATCGGACAGCCGGTGAATGTCAACTTCTTTGTAGGAGTTATTCATGAGCAGAAAATAAGAGTTTGCGCCACTTTTGGCGGCCTGCACCTTGTAGCGCAGCCCATCGTTGATCAACTCTACATCGATTACATTTGTCAGCGTGTTGGCTGCTTGGATCTGGCCTTTGTCAAGTGAAGTCTTGAAGCTGGAGAAGGCTTCGCTGATTTGACGATCGGCAATGTGCAAAGCGCCGCAAACAACACCGAGCAGTATATCGGGCTTATCCGATTGTACGCGCTCCGCAATCAATGCATCCAGCCAGGCAGTATCAATGCTGTTGTCCAAGAAACTATTGGTTTCCAACAGAGTAATCAGATATTCAACAGTAGTGCGGAAATCACCACGAATCGAAAGCTCCTTCAGCGCAATAACAAGATTCTCGCGTGCTTGTTGTCGATTTTCTCCCCAGGAGAAACAGTGCCCAAACTGCGAGTCGGCATATTCGTGCAAACCGCCCGATGCGGCAACACTGAAATAACCCCAGACATTTTTGCTCGAACGGAAATTGAGCTCCTGCACAGTACCCGAGCTTGGCTTGAAACCTTCATCTGGATTTTCCGATGTAATACGTGCTGCAATGACATGGCCAGATGGTTGCGGCTTATTCACCGGCGTTTCAAAATCAATAATCGATGAACCCCAAGGCGATTCTCCATAGAGCAGACGTATGTCTTTCAAACGATATAGCGGCACACCCATACCAATTTGTAATTGGGCAGCTGGCAAATTCACATCTGATACCATTTCTGTGCAAGGATGCTCCACTTGTAGACGTGGATTCAATTCTAAAAAGTAGTATTGACCGTCTGGCTCGTACAAGTACTCAACAGTACCGGCACTTACATAGCCCACCATTTTCGCTAGACGCACAGCAGCTTTCTCCATATCCTCAAATACCTCCGGTTTTGCAATAATCGCCGGTGCTTCTTCAATGATCTTTTGATGACGACGCTGTATGGAGCAATCACGCCCAAATAAACTGATAGCATTGCCATACTGATCGGCAAGCAGCTGCACTTCAAGATGGCGAGCGCCGCGTGCCAGTTTCATCACGAATATAGGTGACCCGGGCACTTCAGCTTGTACTTGACGGAAAAGTGCTGGGAATTCGTCGGCATTGTCCACGCGACGAATACCTTTACCACCACCACCTTCAGATGCTTTAATCATGGCCGGGAAGCCTGAGTTAGAAGGGAAAAGGGAGGAAATTGGTAGAGTTAATTCTCTGCATGGGTAAGTAATTAACGGTACATATGTAATTGGTTTCATATCGGCGTAATCAATTCAGAAGGACTTATTTGAAATCTCTTCCAGTCAATTGCAAAACCGCCTAACAAATTTTACAGGAGAGCGAAAAAACGGTTTATTCTCCGAAGGCATTGCCTTGATAGGCTGTATTTTCTCTAGCTATTATTTTACAAATCTGTTGTTTTGACAACGACTTAACGATTTTTATGCATAAATCTCGATGACTAGATTTCAGGGTTACCAAATCTAATTTTTGCCACAACGGCGATTTAGGCGGTTTTGCAACTGGTCGATGGGCGGTTTTGCAAAAACATCGACGATATGTATACTTAAAGTAGTTTAAGTGAATTTTACTAACAAAAAAAAAAAAAAAAAACGAAACCATCATTCTCACCAATTTTCTTGGCTGCTGCTAAACCCTCTTCGGCGTTACTGACGCAACCACGTTGAAATAATTCACTCGAAATCTTTATTTTCTTTCCAGTGTACTGCGCCTTTAGCTCCGAACCCGACCAGGGCAGCGTGGGTATTTCGGCGGTCTGAGCAACAATTGAGGAAGCAACTTTATCACCAAGCGCCCACATAGCACGCTCCGGGGGGCCCAAAAAGACTAGACCTTGCTTGTGCAACATCTCCGGCAATTTCGGATTCTCGGAAGCATGTCCCCAACCAGCCCATACAGCCTTGATTAAATTTGGTAAAAAAAAAGAGGTAAAATTACAATAATTATTTCAATAGCTTAATTAGATGATTGATAAATTGTTTCTAGTGTGGTAACATTGACCGTGAAGGTCTTACTACGTAGAGAAAATATGTACGTATGTATGTTAGAGTGATCTTATAAAGTAAACAAAAGACTGCTTGCTTTGCTTAAACAGTATAATCCGGTTGGTTATGCATTCATCAGCAGCTTGCGCGCCGATAGCTCTGAGCTTTCAATCTCTGACTGCTTCGTTGTTTTTGTATTTGTTTTATTACCTTATTACACAGTTAAAATCTGCGATGTGCAATCGTATGACTTCATGAAATGCAGTAAATAATCATTATTTTAAGTGCATTCACTCACCTGAACCTGAGTCCGTAGTGCAATGTCAATAATCAATTCAACATTGGCGTAGTTATTATTATTGGCGCCACCAGGCACTGGAACATAATGATCAGCCATCTTGATGTATTCTGCATTGGCCTTCAGATCCTCTGGTGTGACCATCACAACAAAGCGTATAGCACGTTCATTCTTGAACATTTCATAGGACCAACGACGTATCGAACGCATACACTTCACGGCAGCAATACCGTTATTGGCGATCAATATGCGATTTATAACGCGTGTACCACCAAACTTCTTGACAAACTCTTCCGGTGTGGCAATGTGAAAATCACGGTCCTGATAGCGATCCTGCCCCAGCCCAGTGCCACGCGACATGCTCGGCCTAAAACCGAAAGACAAACGATTGTGCATTATTAAATGTGTGCTTTAAGTAGTGCTATGTAACTAAATGAATTGCTAGTCAAAAGGAAACTGAAAATGCAAGTGTAAATAACGAGATCTCTCGCCCAGCAAGGTGCACTCAAAATATTGAATGTACGCATATACAAATTTATGTATATATATGTATGTTTTTACAGATGTGTGTCATATGTACATATAATGCCTAAAGCGTTTAAATACTTGCTGGCCGAATTATTGCTCCATCACCTGTGGCCAAGATGCTCTCATCGGCCGCTCAGCGATGTTGTTGTTGTAGATTAAATAGTAAATAAAAAACAAAAAAGCAACTTTACACCAAAAGAAGATATGCGCGTACCGAACCAGTTTGTTGTTAATTTTGTTTGGAGAAAAAAAAGAACGTAAGCAGAAAAGAGTAAAGTCCGAAAACACAAAATTTTGGCTACGCTGCCATTAAAAGTTTGTGTTGACTTTGGTTAATCGCAAAAAGAAAACGAAAACAAATAAGGCTATGTACATACATATGTAAGTTGCATTCGCGTACATGATAATTATGGATAGTTATCAAAAACTATCATCTTTTGGCATTTGCGTACGCAAAAAGTGGCAAAGTAGGGGAAATTGAGAGAACTAAAGTGACATTTCATTTTGAGGGGAAGTTGCTAGTTTCCGTTGGAAAAAATTTTGCCAACAAGAAAAAAGCTAATTAAAAACAAGTGATTGGAATATATGCAAATCACAAAACTGAATTTGATGGTTTGGAAATTAAAAAACCTAAAATGCAACTATTTAAACTAGTAAGAAGTAAGTAATTATTCGTTTAATCAATAAACTGAGTTAGGGTAACACTTTGTGATCAATTTTCCTACGTTTTCATTTGAATGTAAAACATATTCTTATCAGCTGTTCATCCAATTTGCAATTTCTGGATATTTTTCTTTAATGAGAGAGCAGATGACATTTCGCCGAAATTTTTTAGCTGGTTATTTTACCGTTTAGTTACGTAGTAATAAGCTGGCCATCAATGGCATTCAACGTACGCAAATGGTAAGCAACAGAGACAGTGTGACGGTATTTAGCAGTGATTAGAAAAAGGGCCTATTCACTTTATAATTTCATTTCCACAGCGTGAGTTTTGTAGTCAGCACTTTTTAAGCTCGTAAAATTTTACTTATTTTAATTATTTTTGAGATTATGCTCAAATGTAAATGCGAGTAAATAGATAGTTGATTTTCGTCAGACGTTTTTTTTTTGTTTTAAATTTGTAAGCTTAAAAATGTAAATGTAAACTTATTAAGATAACCAAGGTTTAACGAGAAAGCTTTTAGCAGTTGTTACTATGCACAATCTATTATTTTTTTCTTTGTACATATAGCAGCGACCAGATAAAGGTAACCAACTATATTTTATTGAGGGTAAAATAGAATGTGTCTTGTTAACAGGCAAGACTACTTAATATTAAATACCAAACACAATTTGCAATTCATTATTTAAAAAATGTTTTGAATTAGTACGAAATCTGAAAAAATTATATTTGTGCAACATGGCGTATGGGTAACAAATTTTTTCAACCAATTTTGAACCGGTACCGAACCTCTTGAATTTTTTTTTTTAATTTTTGAACCAATTAAATATTTCCAGTCAGTGATCATAAAAATAAAAAAAATATAAATAAGCATATCAGATTACAATCATTTTATGCGGGAGTGGACCTTCATGATAATGCAGTAGCAAACTATCGAACTGCTTTACGTGGAAAAAATGATGGTGCATTTTATTTATAGGTGGGCTACACAGTGTAAATATTTGTAAATGTTGTAAATATTTAAAATTGCTGTACGAAAAATCTTACAGATGTTCAAATTTAGTTAAATAAAAAAAAATGTTATTCGAATTTTAATCTATATTAAGTGTGCCCCAAGGGCGTTTCTAACAGTTGGACAGCATTGAACCATCTAAAGTTGCCTCTTCCGATTTTGTTTTATTCCTGAAACTTCTCTTGTTCAGCAGTTTTCCAATCTTGTTATTGTATTGCTTGGTGAAAACTTATATCGAAACGAATGCGAATACACAAATTTTTAAAAATGGTTGCTTTTATCTGACCACTACTGAACTATAGATATTTAGCCCTATTGCGCAAGTCGTAAATTAGGATAAATTGTACGACTCGACAACATTGGCATTGTCTACTGTCGTGTAGAAATAAGTAAACGACGAAAACCGTCGAGAACTATGCAGTGCTGCCAAGTTTTTCCGTTTTAATGCATTAGTCGAGTCGGAATGAGGCTGATTATTATTAATTAAGCTTTGCCATATACGATTTGTCGAGTCTTTTTCTTAAGCGATTATTTTTTATTTAGACTTTTAGCAATGAATATTTTTAAAGAGAGCAAGAAAGTCCGCTGATAATTTGACGCAGAGCAAAAAAACACGTAAAAAGTTTGGTAGAGATATTACGAAGGATTTGGACACTGGCAATAGGTGTTTTTTTTTTTAATAGTTCGTAATAATTTTGCTAGAATTTTACTGGCTGGCCTTTTCGTATGCCTAAACTTACAAGTAGGCCAAATTGAGAAAGCAAAAATGACAGTTGAAGCTGCAAATTTTACTGGATAATTTTTTAGTAGAGCTACTTTCCAGTAAGTAAAAACCCCGGAGTATCGCGCTCCGGTAAACAATAGATAAATGACTTAAGCGTTAATTATAAAAAAAATTAATCACAGTTATGCATTCACAAGGTCACAAGAATATGAGAATTCGCGCAGAGCTAAGCCGATAATCATATGGAAAAATTAGATATTGAACGGCGTTGAAAACGCTATGATCGATGGATTAAGTCTACTTTTGCAAGTAAACCCATTTCACAGTGATATTGTTTGCCACTCATGTTTATTTATTTATTTTTAAGCATTTTCAATTAAAATACAGTTCATTCTCTCACAAAACTCACATAAACTCAAGTTTAAAACTTTTTAAAAGACCGCAAAAAAGTGCAACAAATTTTCACCCAAACTTCAAGCTTTTTTCTCAGAAGCGGTAGAATTTTTTTGAATACACAGTTTTATAGCCCATTCAATTTTAGTGTAATAATGTGCAAGTTTCAAGTGGCTAAAAATTACCGTTGATTTTTTAGAATTTTTTTCGCCGAGGATGTTGCGGGTTTCTGCCATATAAAAATAAATTGTGTTTAGTCGTTATATGGAAGCAAATGAGACAAAAAAAATTCTAAAAAATCAACGGTAATCTTTAGCGACTTGAAACTTGCACATTATTGGACTAAAATTGAATGCGCTATAAAACTGTGTACTCAAAAAAATTCTAGAGCTTCTGAGAAAAAAGTTTGAAATTTAAGGGAAAGTTTGTTGAACTTTTTTGCGGTCTTTTAAAAAGTTTTAAACTTGAGTTTATATGGGTTTTGTTAGAGAATGAACTGTATTTTAATTGAAAATTCTTAAAAACAAATAATTAAACATAAGTGGCAAACAATATCGCTTTGAAAGGGGGGTGCTATAGATATGTCCAATACTGTATATATGTATGCATAAATAATATTGAGCTCTTTTTTACTTTCTAATCCGAGAACGTCGAGGAATATTTGAACCCAAAGGTCGAAACCTGGACGTGCGCGAAAACAGAAGGGAATTGAATTCTATAGGGAACTATTGCACTATTCTGAGTGAACAAAAAAAATGACAAGAATAACCTTTGTGGACTTGAAAGAAGAAATTTTAGAGGCGTTGAAAAATGAAATAACGGTGCAATACTAACTAACTCTTATTAACTCCGTATCGATAAGGATAGCAGCTGCTATATAGGGGTATATTAGGGAACACTCAATTTATTAACGATTTTTTATATGAATAAAATTTTGTGTTACGCATACGCCACGTTGCTCGAATATATATTTTTTTAAATTTGGAATTGGAAGTATTTTATATACGTATATGGAATGAATAGTTGCAATAATTTTAATTTTAAATCGACCAAAATTAACACACTGTGCCTTTTATTGACGCCGATTGTTCACACACATCCATACATACATACATTGCGTATCTACCCAGTCGGACCGTGCAGAATGTGGTTCCGAAAATAATGCCCTTTTAGGTACTAATTTCTTCATAAGAAATTTGAAGTACATTTAATTTTTGTATGAAAGTTAGTAAATATCTGAGTGAAAAAGTATCACATCCTTTTTTTCACCAAAAGTCTGTAGGTCATGTAAACTTCACAACTAAAGTCAGCATTTTTTAGTGCTTTGACTTCGGTAACTAAATCCGAACAAGAATAAAAACAAAGCTCTCCAAACCAACAACAATCCCAAACCCCATGCAAAATTGCCTTCTTAAAGAACCGTTCTTGCTGTGCTTCACGTCTGTATAAAAGCAAATTAAAGAACTTATGTTTTTGGAACTACTTCGAAGTGGAAAAATAATCGTGCTATAAGTACATTTTGGAAGCAACCAAGTCCGACTGGGTAAATGTAACACCTATGTATGTGGTGTTATATGTTCGATATGTCCACAAAATTACAAAATCAACCAATCGATGAGTAACAATTTTGACGCAGTGATTACTTTATAGTCCTCGGTTCCTCCGCCAAGAATAAACTCGTTTCAGATAAGTTACCGCTCAATGTCATGCCATTATTGTTGTTAGCAACGTCGGCGGCATTAACATAGACGGAATCACACTCAATTTCAATGTCAGGTATACTCGATTCGTCTTCATTGTTTTCATCATCTATCAATATGATGGGAACTGGAGTTTTTGGACGCTCTGGTATCTCCGAACCGGACTCATCCTCGTTTGGTTCACCGATGGTGAAACGTCTGGTTGATTTAAGCATTTCAAATAGCCACTTTAGGAAAGTCAATGACATTCAAAATCACAATAAGCTCATATACATACGAGCTTATTAAATAAACCACACTAATTGCAATTTAAACGGTTAAACGGGATTTTTAACACTTTGATGTTTGGCCACTTTTTCATGTATGAATGTTTTTTGCTTAGTCCTTCTTTTGCCACGAATAACGCGCTCTATATAAAATTCTACTATTGCGATATACTACAGCAGGTGGACAGTAGTTTTTCAGTACAAAAAAATGCTAAACTACACTTCACGAAGTGCCAAGAGTAACTGGCAATGTCGATATCGTCGTTACTGGTGTATAATTTCGTTGAATTCGAATACGTATGTACGAATGATTCAAGCACGTTTCAGCAAAAATTCTCACTGTAATTTTTTCTATATTATTTGTTAGCATTTTACATAGCAACTATTGCTGCGCGAGGTGACAATAGTTGTGGCGCGCTCCAATCAGCTGTAGTGTTTACACTTATTTTATATAGTGATGTATGTATGTTTATACATATATACATACGTATGTATATGCACATATGTACGTAATATTGTATTTAAAAGCAAGTGCAAAGAATTTTGTTGGAATCACCTGTGGCGATACGTCAGTATTGAAATTGGCCCCCTAGTCAAGCCGGTAGTTAAGCGTATCCATCGCATATTTATATTTTGACCGCTCCCGCATTTACATTATCAATAGGCACTTCCAATTTTGCGTTTACTTTCTTGTGAGCGGAAGCAAACACGTAACACAGCAGATAAAATGGCAAAATAAAAATAAAAATATTGACAGCATATACAGATGACAGACATCAGGCGATGGGGCACAAGCGAACTAGGTAGGTACTCTGTGCATGAGAAATCGGTGCACTGTTTGTTCTTTGTGCGCGCTGTTCGGCTATTCTCACAGTATTGAACGAAATTCCTTTTCTACCCCACTGCTTGCACCCGCACTAGATGCCTATTACACTGCTGTTAGCCCACTCACTGCCGCCAGTCTTGTCGGCGCAATTTTATGTTTTCGTTTAATTGCGTTTTTTTTCTTCTCTTTCTTAAATTCTTTAATATTTTTCTACGCACTCTCTCCGAGAATTCTCTGCGCTGAGATATTATACAAATGTATGTCGTCGTTTAAAGTACAAAACCGCGTATCGTCATTCTGCAAAACCGCGTAACTAACATTTGCTGCCAAAAAATTGGATTTGCTCACACAAACTCTTGGCTCAATTCTTATCCATTCGTCCTAGCAGTGTTGCCGTTGTGGTTACTTTTAAACAATTTTGGTTATTTTTTTCTTGCCTGTGAAGTTGTTAAGATCTTTCCCGTTTGGGTTATTTTTTAATATTTACTGTAGTTTTTAATTGACATAGGCCAGCTACACCTGTCGAGGTTGCGGAGAGTAGCAACAGCAGTGGCAGTCCCAGCAGTGAAACCAAGTAAGAATATTTGGAATGAATGTATTAAAATTACTTACATATGTATGTATGTATTGGTTTTATAATATACAGAATACATAATATACCTGGTCGGCTAAAGACTTCTTCCAATGAATACATACTTAGATAGTACATGAAAAAGGGATTTGGTTATTCTTTTTCCATTACTGTTTACTTTATTAATTTAAGTTAAGATTAATAATAATAATCTTATAGCAAGTAGGTCCAGTGAAAATACCATTCCACAGTTTTTAAAAAATCGGTTTTTTGCGCTTTTGTAAAATTTATTTACCATCGTATACGCGGAACTACATTTGGCGTATACGAGGTATTTCGCGCTGAGCGACGATATAGTTCAATAAGTCCAATTTTTAATTGTTTAGTCTTAATCTTAAAATATATACAATGTGGTTGTTCACGCTGATTAGGTATTTCATTGTTTCTTACAAAGAAGTTGGAAACTGTGTACCTACATACATATGTACTTATTTAAAACGTCATTTAGAGTCAGGTAATGTTTACGAAGATGTTAACATTCATACATATGCGTGTAATACGGGAAGACTGATTTTCCAAATTATATACTTACATATTACAGCCTTGAAAGGATCTACTTTTCAAAATGCAAATAAATGATTTTATTTGGCTCGTAAACTTTTTCTATACGTATCATATAAAAGAATTTGCGATGACCTGAATTGTTAATCTAATAAAAAAAGTTGGTTATTTTTCTTTACATTTGGTAACTTTTTCGTCTAATTTTGATGGGAAAGTTCTTTGAGCGACGGCAACACTGCGTCCTAGCCAGTGAGATATAGAATAACTTGATAGAAAAATAGTAAAAGTTTTAACTTTATAGCGGAAAACACAACGCAGAGGGGTGTTTGAGGCACAAATGCGGTCAAGTATTAGGTTTAGGTTATTCTCATAAATGCTAACACATATGTACATATTATATATTAGTTTTTTTATTAATGTTATTTTTTTTATTAATGTTAACAAACAAAACGATTTTTGAGGGTTTTATGTAAAAGTACTTTTAGTTGATTTCAAATATGTAATTTTCTCATGTGGCACAAGAAACTCCAGTTTTTTCTAATAGAAT